GGCTTATAAAACTACACCCAGGGCACCTGAAGAGCAAGGAAATCTCTATGTCTCACCAGAACAGTGGCAGGATTTCAAGAATGTGATCAAAAGCAACTGCAAAAATAGGCTGGGTTCTGTGAGCCAAACATGTTGTCACAGCATATTGAGTTTTACCTGATATTTGGAAACCAGCAGAAAAAAGTCACCTAAAAAAGGGGAAATGTGTAGATCAATGGGCAATTTTGAACAATCTGAAACAGGGATATCAGAATTAATTGAAAATGTTTTTATGGGTGACAGAAGCATTAGTAACAGGAATTAGTGGTTCACTGTTGACCATTCTCTATTTTGTGTCCTTTGTGCAACTCAATAAGTGAACAGGACATGGCCAGATATGAACTAGTTATGAAGTATTTATGATTGTCTCATCTTTCCCTTTACTACATGAACATGCTCTGGAGACTGTCATCTTTAGGCACTGAGTGGAATTGGTCTCCATGTTTCCTTTACTCTTTAGACCTCCCCATCATTTCTCCATCCAGATGCTCATGTTTTTGAGTCACACTGTCCCTGGGTATTCTGCCTTCCTTTCCTCTGATTTTTCCCTGCAGAATTGTGTTTGCTAGTCTTGTTGTTCTGGTCACATGGACAAACCACCCCAATTTCCATCTTCTCACTGCTTACATGGGGTCACGGGACCCAATTACTTCAGCTTCTTCTTCTCTAATGACACTGTTGGTCCTACTCACTGTTTTTGATATCCATGTAATCCTTTGGAGATATCTGAATTCAAAGATATGAATTCCTTATTCTGCAGCAGTTGTGTTGACAGAAGACTACTGAGAACACAACCATCCTCAGAAGTCCTGCTTGGATGTGCTTGAGGTGCTCTTGTCTTTCCAGATTCTGGTAAATTGTGAAATTTGTCATCATGGGAGTGATTCCACTTTTCTATTTCTATTTTAAGATTTAAGATTATAACTCCAGTGTCTCCTAACCAGACCTCTCATTGGTGTTTCCCTCCTTTGATATAAGTCTCTGGCTTGATACAGCAGTTGCCATGACCTTGCTTGCACTGACCTTTGCAGTAATCAGTACTGGCCAGTTTTGCTGCTGTTCTGCTACCCTCAGCCCTTTACATGCTATGAATCACTCCAAGGATCACTGCCTTGGAGCAATCTTGGATTGCTCCAAGGCAGAGGTTGTCGACTTTCTGACTTCCAGATGCTGATGTTCTTAGCTGTTGCTCTGGGCAGGTTAGCAGTTTCCTGACCCCAGGGAATGAGCCCTGGGTATTGTCAGAGAGGACTGCAGTGACTACTGTAGCCCTGGTGCTGAGGCTGTTGCATTTGTCACGATACGCCTCGCTTGTTGTACCTGCTGTGCTTTACAGAGGTGTGTGAGAGTGTGATGTAATTCCTTCAGGTTATTGCTTCAGTTCCCTGAGCAGATGCAAATCTCCTTCTGGCCCTTATTAATGCACTAGGCTGCTGGTGGTATTAAGAGAACGAACTTTAGCTGGAAAGAGGGAAATTTAGACTACATTGGTAGAAGTCTTTAGGGTGATTGCGGTGTCTTTCTGCAACAGCTCTGATGACTGTTTGGAAGTTCCTAGTATCTGTCCCTGACATTGTTTCTTGTATTACTTTTTGATAACCTGGATGGTACTGTATGGCCTTCAAGTGCTATGTTCTTGTACAACACTGCCACTGTTTATCTGTTTTCTCTTCTCAAGGCCTTTTTATTTCTTCTGTAACCTAATGCCTCTGCTTCTTCCATCTGATGTCTAAGCTGTAGTTTCCTTTTTGGTTTGCACAGTTCTAGACTGCTTGGGCAATCCAGGACTGTTTTGTCTTTCCTAGTGGTTCTTTAATGAAACTGTCAGTTGTTTCTGTTTTCCCCCCTCATCCAGGAAGGGCAGAAACTCCCCTGGTTTGGACTTCTGCCAGAGCCTTGTGCCTCCAACTCATGCTGTCTCACAGGATTTCAATTTTATGGTTTCCTATAATCTTTCTGGCCATGATGAAAAAAATCACTGCTGGTGGCAGTTCCTGGGAAATCAAAACTAATGAATTACAAA